ATCACTTACAGCACTGCGATTGGCCTCTAGGAGGTGTCCCACAATGCCTGTTCTCGCCTCTCTGGTCATCGGTCTGAACTCTACTGCCCTTCCCTCAGGTGACCAACCGTGAGCCGCTCCCCTTAAATTCCTTCGGAATTTTTAACGTCCCCTTCCTGTTTGCTCAGTGGTGCGTGCAGTGGTCTGAGCGCTTCTTTCCAGGTGACCATGCCTGCTCCATGCACCAAGTGATCCCCTATTTGGAGCAATGCTGGACCTCATCATCATTTGGGGAGAATAGGCTGTCCAGTCCCAGCTGTGCTCCAGCCATAGAAATTATAATATCTACGGACAGATTTCACGAAGCATGACAGAAAGGGGCCATGACCGGGACACACTGCAGTGCAGAGTCAAAGTAAAGGAGCTGTGGAATGCCTACCGCAGGGCACGGGAGGCAAACCGCTGTTCTGGTGCTGTGCCCAAGAGCTGCCAGTTCTACAAAGAGCTGGACGCCACCTCCATTGCGAAGGCCACTGTGGATACTTCGGTGGCTCGCCTGGCAGTCAAGAGTGGACTGAGCCAGGAGGAGGAAATCTTGGATGAGGATGTGGAGGGGAGGGGGATCCAGAAGCAGAGGATGACTCGGAGGTCAGAGATGCGAGCCAGCCAGGAATTCTTCTCTACGCCTGAGGAGACTAGCCAGTCACAGCTATTGGAGCTTGGCAAAGCGCAAGCAGGAGAGGAGGCCCCTGGTAAGTGGCTTTGATTTGGGGAATTGCTGAAATGAGTTGGGGGAAGGAGGGCTGCAGAAAGCAGGAGTGTGTCTGTATGATGCACTAACCACCACATGCCTAGTCTAAGCAGCCGAATAGGGTATTGATTGACTCCCTCACTTTATGGGAATCTTCCTCAGAGATCTCCACGAAACTCTCATGGAGATACTGGGCAATCCGCTGCCAGAGGTTCTTTGGCAGAGCTGCTTTGTTTCTTGCCCCATTAAGAGTAATTTTCCCGTGCCACTCTGTCGTCACTGGAAGGGGGGAGGGTGGCATTGCTGCACACAGGCGAGCTGCGTAAGGGCCAGGGCGGAAGCCACAGTCTTGGAGAAGACCCTCCCTTGATTCCCTGCTCATCCTCTGCAGCGAGATTTCTCCCATAATGAACACAGCCTGTGGAAAATGTAGGGACAGTAATGATTATAAGGCCCCCCCTTCAGTACTGGCTCTCCCCAGGAGCCACGTGCCAAGTGTACAGTATGGTTCTGGAACACTGATTTCCCCTGCCTCTGCGGTTACTCACTATTTTGGGGCTCTTGTGGCTCGCCTGGTGTCAGCCAGTTAGTGACAGGTGTTTTAAATCACTGAATCAGTGGTCTGTGTGTTGCAAACAATACTGCTTCTGTAAAATGTTGCATTTTCGCTTCACAGATATGACTTTGAGAGCCCAGCCACCCTCTTTGTTATAGCCGGCTGAATGGCTGCCCAGAATTAGAGAAGAACTAAAGAGGACTTTCTGTGTGATATCATGGTGGACTCCGTGACCGAAAAAATAAGAATCGAAGGAGTGGCAGAACAGTGAAAAGAGGGATTGAAAGGAAAACCTAACGCCCCAGAACGTAGCCACAGAGCAGCTCTTAAAAGTTATGGAGCACTAAGCAGACACACTCCAGGCGCTACTAGCACTACAAACCGAGCAGCTCCGTGCTCGCCTTCCCCTGCAGCCGCTGTCCCAAAGCTCTTTCCCATGCGCCCCCCAGACACTGCCAACACACTCTTATCAACCTCCGGGCTCCAGTCTGTACCTGCTGCATTCCACTCCTGCCCCGTCACAGTCCAGCCCTGTGGACACCCAGTACCCACTGCACTCAACACCCATCCTGCTGCAGTTTAGCCCTGCTAAAGTGCAGTACCCGCTGCACTGTACTCCAAAGGATAAGGTTGCATATGATACCTGGACATACACTAATCTTTAACCCTCCTGGGACCCTCCCTTCCACCATCCCCCCCAGTGCTGATGGGTTTTTTGTTTGTCTCTCTCCGCCGGTTGTTGTTTTTAATAAAATAATTGTTTTGGTTTGAAAGCAATCTTTATTCCGTTGATTGAAATCAAATAGAGCCCTGCAAAGCAACAGGCAGTTTTCTTAAACCTTCATAATGCATCATCTGCACCAATCACAATCACCTCCTACCATTGCAAGCACTGCACTCCTGAGCATAGCAGCAAATATTAGTGGATTTCAGCTTCAAATTGCTGCTTCACGGCATCCCTGATACTTATGGCCCCGCGCTGCGCCCCTTTAATAGCCCTGGTCTTTGGCTGCTCAAATTCAGCCTCCAGGTGCTGAGCCTCAGTAGTCCAGCCCTCAGTGAAGCTTTCACCCTTCTATTCACAAATATTATGGCGCGTACAGCACGTGGCTATAAGCATAGGAAAGCACGTGGCCATAAGCATTGGCGAGGTCCAGCCTCCCATATAGGCAGCGCCAGTGGTCCTTTAAACAACCAAAAGCACACTCAACAGTCATTCTGCACTTGCTCAGCCTGTTCTTGAACCCTCCTTGCTGCTGTCAAGGTGCCCCATCTATGGCTTCAAAAGCCACGGCATTAATGGGTAGGCAGGATCTCCTGGGATCACAATGGGCATTTTGACTTCCCCTACAGTGATCTTCTGATCCGGGAAGAAAGTCTCTGCTTGCAACTTCCAGAACAGGCCAGTGTTCTGAAAGATGCGTGAGTCATGCACCTTTCCGGACCAGCCTGCATTAATGTCCGTGAAACGCCCATGGTTATCCACAAGCGCATGGAGAACCATAGAGAAATACCCCTTCCGATTAATGACTAGGTGGTCTGGTGCCAGCATTGGAATATGTGTGCCATCTGTTACCCCTCCAGAGTTAGGGAAGCTCATTTGTGCAAAGCCATCCACAATGTCATGCACATTGCGCAGAGTCACGGTCTTTCAGAGCAGGATGCGATTAATGGCCCTGCACACTTCCGTCAACACGAGTCCAGTGGTTGACTTTCCCACTCTGAACTGGTTAGTGACCAATCGGTAGCAGTCTGGAGTAGCCAGCTTCTACGGTGCAATCGCCACACGCTTCTCATTCTCGTGTCCTCGCACCGCAGCGCTAGGGTGAGCTCATCACACAGTCCCATGAACATGGCTTTCCACATCTGAAAGGTCTGCAGCAACTGCTCGTCATCCCAGACGTGCATGACGATGTGATCCCACCACTCAGTGCTTGTTTTGTGAGCCCAAAAGCAGCATTCCACTGTGGTTTAGCACCTCTGTGAATGCCACAAGCAATCTCATGTTGTAGCTACTATGTGAGATCAATGTTGAACTGCTCTTGCCTTTGTAGTGTAAGGAATAACTACACTGCCGCTCATGACGTGTTAGTGAGAGCGAGCATCATATTGGTCAACAGTGCAGATCCATTCAGGCAGACCAAATAGGCAGAGCACGCAGTACACAAGCTGTTGAAAGATGGCACCAAATGCGGATGGACGCACAGGATGGGATTGCTGGGATGCGAAGCAATGCATCATGGGCATTGGGACAGGACCCAGGATGCACCATGACCCCCTCTACCTTCCCACAACTCTTAGCTGCAGAAGAGGAAGAGATGCTCTGTGGGATAGCCGCCCAGAGTGCATCGCTCCAAATATCTCTGCAAGTGCTGCAAATGTGAACATACTATTGCATAGGCAGCTGACAGCATGAACACACAACAGTGGTTTCCCTTCAGCACTCTCTGAGCGGTGCTGTAACTGCCGGCTGTGTAACTCTGCCAGTGTAAACATACCTTAATACCCCATCTTCTGCATTATCTGTTAAGGCATTGATCTACAAGCAGTCAAGATAATTTTTTTCTGAGTTATCAGTGACTCGGAAAGAGGTTAGTCCATTTTTATATAGAGTACTACTCCCCCCTCCTTTTTGCCCTCTTGATCCTTCCTAAATAGCTCATAACCATTGATTTTAAAATTCCAGTCATGGGAATCATCCCACCAGGTTTCAGTAATACCAACTCGATCAAATTTATGCTTATAAATGAGCAGTTCCAATTCCTCTTGTTTGCTACCCAGACTCCTAATGTTAGTGTATAGACAGTGCCTGGATTACAATCTCTGTACATTTGCTCCTTTAGATAGGCTGTTCCTTGAAAGCTACCAATTTTTCCTTCCTGTTTTTCTGGAAGCCCCTAATGTTGGAATGATTCACATGTTCAGTGTAGAAGGGGTACAAGTACAAGCTGCAGACCACTGGTCCAAACACCAATTATTTTCTTTTTCTTCTATAGGACTCTGCTTAGCTGCAAGGAAACCTGCCATGCAGCTGAACCCAAGCAGTGTGTAGCCTTTGAATGAGAAATAAGAAGAGGTGCAATGAGAGAGAAGGAGAGAGATTCAGGGTGCAAAAAGGAAAAATATACTTAGGAAAGGGGAAAAAATGAAAAGGGGAATAAAAAGCAGATGCAGAAAAGTGGAAAGAGACAAGAGACAGCTTTAGTAGTGGCAGGATGTGACCTGTGGAGACAGGTCTGAGAGGGAGTTTATTTGCCAGCCCATCATAAGTTGGGATCCAAAAAAGAAGTTGTGAACCGCTGGTGTTTTGTACATACCCATCATATTTCCTTTCAAGCACAATCATACAAGTTGCTGAGTAAATCCTGTGCAGTGCTTAGACCCTTCAACCTCCTTTGAAGTCAGGAGGAAGGGAAAAGGGGAGATATGATGTTGCAGAGAAGTGACTGACCTCCTCTTGTGCATAGAAGCTCTCCTCCATGTGGGATCACAATCTGAGCAAAAGAAAATAAATGTGAATTGGTCTGCTCTCTTCTTTGAAGCATGTTCAATGAAAATAGCTTTAAAATGTTTTTAAAAAAGCTTGTGAAATGGATTTAATATTTATTCTTCCACACCATATTAGAGAGGTTAACTAGAAAAGGCTTAAATCAACAGCAGGTTTCTTTACCTTGTACTATTAAGTAACAGTATTATTTCTTTTGCATTCAACAGCGTATGCTTGATATGACGTTTGGAGCAGGAGGTCATACTAAAGCCCTTCTACAGAAAGTAACTGATATTACAATATATGCACTAGACAGAGACCCAGCAGCTTATAAAATAGCTCAACAACTTTCAGAATCGTATCCGTAAGTAGAATTCTGCTTTTCTTGCCTTATCTATGGTATTTATGGGGCGTCAAACACCATACTTTATCTTTTGTGTATAAATGTAAATGGTTATAGTACTACAGTATGTGCATATTAGTTTCATTAAAAGAAAGAAACCTACCTTAAGTCACTTTTGACTTTTTTGCGTGTAAGGCTTAAATTTTTATGAGACTACTTGCATTTAATTCATTTTCTCTGCTGCTACTTGCCCTGTGTGCTTTAGCTAGTCACTACAGGGTTTAAAACTGAGTGTGATCAGTTTAATTTGGGATTATTCTAGTAAGAAGCTTGCATTTAAAAAAAATTGTATTTCACACCAAATTAGTTTTGCCACAAAAGAAATCTTTCACAACAAACAAGAAATTGATTTAATAAAAGTTTAGTTTTTAATTAAATAAAGATCTAATTTAGCTGTGACTCATTTACACTAGACAGATTCATAAAAAACAAATAAAGGTAATTTACTGAGTTTCAGTATTATATTTCCTGCTGTACTTTGTGACTTGTGCAGCTGGCTTCAGAATGTAGTCATCAAGTAAACAAGGCCACAATCTTGCGTCACAGGATCTGCTAGCACAGACTCCTGTGCCCATGTATTACTCAGATTTTAATTTGTTAGGCAGAAAAGGACAGGAAATACAATAGTGCTCTGAAGAAATAATTAATAATTTCTTTGCTAATATTTCAAATGTTATATTCTTTGATTCTTTCTTCTTGTAAAGAGGTGACTTATTCAAATCTATGGCAAAAATGCTTTTAGATTAAATGTTGCAGTCTTTCAACTTCCTTTCCATTTGTTGCACATAACATTTATTGTGTTTTCCCATAGAAATTTAATTTAGTTTATATGTGCAATTCACATCTCACTTGTAACACAAACGTCTTTTTTTTTTTATTCTGAAATGCTTAATGTTCATCCTAAAGCTAACAAATTACAATAATTACATTAGTACAGGTGACTAGGATAGATTACATAGTTTATTTCTTGATATCATTTGGTGAAATCACATTCTGAAGCATGAACACTATCTCTGTTCACTCAGTTTTATGCCTGATATTTATGCTGCCCCATGTATCAGTACCACATTACTATTTGGAGTTCCAGAAGACCTATTTCCTTGTTTCATAGAACTTACAGGTATCTATTTGTGAACTCATCAGATGACATGGATAATTAAAATTATCTTCAAAAAGGAGTCAACTCTTTGAACTTGCCTCGGAAGCAGTGACTGACTTGGTATGTGAAAACAACCAGAATAGTGGAGAGGAAACAGGGATAGATAAAGAAGAAGAGGTGAGAGACAAGGGACAAGAAGCAGATGGGGGAGGAGAATTAGGAGCCAAGATGATTTACAGTTCATGGGAGATTCTGGAAAATATATTGGAAACTGAGAAGCCAAGTACACAACTGGAGAGCACAAAAGACAGAAGGAATTCTCAGAATCAGAGCCTGTTTGTCAAAATAGGTAGACCAGATGAAGTATATGGGGGCAGCAGAACATTATTTTGTGGGTAACTGTGGGCTGAGAGGGAGCAGACATATGCTGTGTTGCCTGGAGTAGTGGTAGTTTGGTGAAAGTAGATCAAAATATTAACCAGGCAGCTCACCAGTGGTTGTCGTCATACGTTTCAGTGGTGTGTGCTGATGTGGCATTGCTTCCTCTTCAACGATGGGCCAAAGTAAAGGGAAGAGAATGAGAACAAAATAACAAGGTAACTGCAGGCAATTTGGCCATGGTCAGCCAAACAGAGTGTGTATGCATACTTGCACATAAATGTGTGCAGCTGAGTAGGCACATTTCTAAAAACATTATTGTTTTGACTTGACCAGGATGTGGAAATTGTGTTGGTATAAAAAACAAATAAAACTGAAGTGCCTGGGAGCTTGTTCTGGAAAAACTGTTTTTTCAGGGAAAGGAAACTTCCTGCATTTTAGAAGACTTTACAGTATTTCAAAAGAGATTTTATGTACAGTCTCTGTATAACCTGTGTAATAGATTTATCTTTCTTCCAAAGAAGAGAGGAGAGACAGATCCTCCTTTACAGGAGAGGAGACAGGTGGCTTGGGCGTCTCTTCTTCATACATTCTCCACAACCGCAAAGATGCTTCTGCTTTACTGTTGAAAGGCTAGGGGCCTCAGAAATGACTCAGACAGCCATCAACACTCCTCTTGCTTCCGCTTCAGTTCCCCTAGCTGTTGAACCCTCACCTCGTAGCCCAAGATGACTTCTGGAAGTGCAGAACCCTCCAAGTCAGGCAGAGGAAGGAGCGTTTTTTCTCTGAGTCTAACAGAGAGAAGGATTAGATCTGCTTCTCCTTACTTTACTGCTGGTCATTATTACCCCAGGCTTGACCCTGCTCAGCAGCCATTATATCAAGGGGGAGGACAGTCCAGACATACAATCCATTAACAGCCTTCGTCTTGATATTACATTGGGATAGTGAGCAGTCCCAATGCCTCTGATTTTAATTGCCAGGACAGATCAGAGAACAGCAGATAGTGCAGTGTGACAGGGTCGAGCCAGATGGTTACAGGAGAGTAATAGAAGGCAGATATATTAGCCCCAAGCTAAGTAGGTCCCTTTTCCGTGGGTAAGGTAACAGGGAAGGTTCCAGAACAATCAGGAACCTTCTTGAGACAGTTAAGACAGACAGGCTGATTAGAACACCTGCAGCCAATCAAGAAGCTGCTAGAATCAATTAAGGCAGGCTAATCAGGGCAACCTGGGTTTTAAAAAGGAGCTCACTTCAGTTTGTGGTGTGCATGTGAGGAACTAGGAGCAAGAAGCACCAGCAGCTGAGAGTGAGAATGCGGACTGTTGGAGGACTGAGGTGTACAAGCATTATCAGACGCCAGGAGCAAGGTCCTATGGTGAGGATAAAGAAGGTGTTGGGAGGAGGCCGTGGGGAAGTAGCCCAGGGAGTTGTAGCTGTCGCACAGCTGTTCCAGGAGGCACTCTAGACAGCTGCATTCCACAGGGCCCTGGGCTGGAACCCGGAGTAGAGGGCGGGCCTGGGTTCCCCCAAATCCTCCCAACTCCTGGTCAGACACAGGAGGAGTCAACCTGGACTGTGGGTTCAGAAAAACAGCCAAGCTGAGGGCTGCTGTGAAGCTCCAAGGCGAGCAGATCCTCCAATAAGCTCAAGACCCACCAAGGTAGAGGAGGAACTTTGTCACAGCAGATTACAACAATCCTATATTAACACTGTAAATAGTTAATTAAATACAAAATAGCTACTTTAAAAATACTTAATTTAGGTTGCAAAGTCAAGTATTTGAGTTAGGAAATGCCAGATTTTGGGGTGTAATCTTAATTTTGCCTCCTTGTGAATCCATCCTAGCCACTGAAGGAGGTCCTATTGAATAATAGTATGTAGTAATGTAATCAAGACTATCATAATACATACACACAAGGGAGGTGAATTAGGGTTACTCAGGCAACCTTTATTCTGGCATTTCTTAACTTTTCAGTGCTTCAGTTTTCAACCCCAAACAACGTTCTTTTGATTCAGCTTTTTAAATGTAATTACTAGCTTTCTTTTAAAGGAAGATAGTTTGTGTGCAACACTCTGAATGAATCATCAGTAGTTTGAAAGCTGAACCTTCAGCACTGCAGCAGATGCTGCTACTGCTTGAGGTACAGGACTAATTAGATTAGCTGACATCAGGAGAAGGCTATTATCCCAAAGTGGAATGGATCTCTGGGTCCAAGTGTTGGGGTCCAATGAGTGTGGAGCTGGGAGAAGCCTGACCATTCTGACTCTCCACCCCTGGGAATTGGCATCCCTATCCTGTATGGTGATCCCAAAGTGGGAATTGGCCACCAGCACCACATGATGGGTCTTGGGGGTGGTTGAAGGAAGCCTGGCCTCTCTCTTCCCAACTTTGGGATTTCTGTCTCCATATGGAGTCCCCAGTGTGGTAGTAAGAACAGGACTGGAAAGTTATGGGAGGAAGTCCAGCAAGGGTTCTGTTCCCTTCCCTCCCCCAGTTGGTGTGGGTTTCCTGCCCCATGTGATGCCCATATGCTGAGTCCTGGAGAGAGCAGAGGCTGGCTTTTCTCCCTCCCCTCACCACACAGGCAACAGCTACTTAAACAGCTCCCACATGTTCTCTGTATGTTCATGATGGCATTAGCTCAGTTTGATGCCATGTCTACTATATGGGCGCTGTGGTGGCACAGGTACGGCTCCATAGCTATGCCGGTATAACACGGTAGCATAGTCACAGACCACTGATGGAAACGACCTCCCTGACTCACAAGGGTGCCACTATAATAGCAAAACCTTTCCTGTTAAGTTTTCTTTACCATTTTGTATAGAAGTATCACAAAAGGAAATAAATAGACTCAGCTAGTCCAAATCTTAAATCCAGGAGATCAGGGCAGCATTCACAAAACAAAGCAGAAGACACCCACGCTGCTCTATAGATCGATAGTCCTGTGACTTAAAGTCCATTTTCCCCTAATGAACAGATATCCCACTCAGCCTGTTTTCTGGGGGAGTTTGCTTTCCCAACTAGATGAAAAGATTTTAGAAGTGCCAGGTATTGTTCTATCCATAGAAACAGATACTGTATTTGTTTCCAAAGTGGCATTCTCTTTTCCCATCCCTTCTTCACTTTTGTTTACATAAGTCATTCTGATGTCTAATCACAGAATTACAGCTGATGTAATTTATGATGACAATGTGAAATGCAGAACGGCTTCCTCACTCCTCTTCATGTCAATAAAGCTATTCATATGGGTGCTGAAGTTGAGGCTCTCAACACTATAGACTCATGTCCATCAAAAGATTCTTTCTGAAGTAGCATACCTCACTTACTTGACTAGCTGAGACAGAATTAAATCACACACTTAAATAGTACAGAACATACAGATGCAGTCTTGTGTTTTTTGTTTTTTTTTTCTCCCTACATCTCCCATTTATACAGCATTGGAATGAACTGATGGGTCATTTCTCCAGAGAGATAAGAAAT